TATAATAATGTGTTATATAATAATTATTACACATTTATATATATATATAATAATTATTTATAATATACATATTATACATATTATTTATAATATACATATAAAATGTGTAATAATTATATGTAACATTAGGATATATATATATATATATATCCTAATGTAACATATAAGAGGATATATATATATAAAATTTACATTGTCACGTAAAAATTAAAAAATGTGTAATAATTATGTAACATTAGGATATATATATATATGTATATATATATATATCCTAATGTAACATATAATAGGATATATATATATATATATACATATATATATATATCCTAATGTTACATATAATTATTACACATTTTTTAATTTTTACGTGACAATGTAATTTTTATATATATATATCCTAATGTTAATAATTATATGTAACATTAGTATATATATATATATATATAATTATTACATTTTTTAATTTTTACGTGACAATGTAAATTTCTTTATCATATATATATAATGTGATTAAAAAATTTACATATATATATATATATATATATATATATACACACATACAAACATAAATTGCTTAAAAAGTACACATTATGACTCAGAAGTATGCACATAAGTTGACTTCAGAAAGTCTCATGTAAACTTGTATCATTTGATATTTTACAACCAAAAGCATTACTTTTAGATATTCATATATCATACGTGTCAAAAAATGGGAATTTATTGTGAGAATTATATTTTACGCAATATTTATTTATAAATAAATGTAGTGTTTTATAAATAAAACATCTAATGGTGAGCCGCTGCTTTTCTCATCTGTACCAAGATATTGCCTAGTTCTTCTCGCTTCCTTTTTGCGCGAATATGTGTACCCAGCTAAAAAAAATAATAAAATATTTACAATTCCAATAGTCTGATCTTAAAGCGTAAACTAATACAATAAATTAATTTATATTTCTTAAAATCTTTAATGAGATAAAACCAGAATACTTACTCGTCTCTTCAAAAATTTCAAAGCACGTTTGTCTTTGGAGACTTTTAGTAATTCCATTGCACGTTTTTCGTAAGGAGCATGTCCTGTTACCTCGCGAATTAAATCTCTCACAAATTTGCTGTGTTTAGTTTGTTTCTACAAAATAAAATATTAATTCTAATAGCACACACATATGTATGAAAGAAAAATCAATACTTTATACTCAATAAATTGTTACATCTATATTGACCAGATAAAAATAGTATTCTAATAAAGTATTCGCAGAACTTTATACTAACTCCTTTGAGTCTTGACGGCCGAAGACAGACTGTCTTTTCCTTTTCTGATTTATTTTTAGCCACACGAATTTTTGTTGTCTTATGGCCTTTGTTGAGACCAACTGCTAATTCGTATCTTGGAGCCATCCTGCAAAATACGGTCTTTAAAGGTTAGGTCATCAATAATTATCAATAAATTCTCAAACACGCTACCGCGTGCAATGTAAAAAATTATAGAAACAATGTAGCTATTAAAATAAGTATGATATCTTGACTTGTATTCTTTGAGACAGATTAAAAAGACGTTTTTAGATTTCAATTTTCACAAACCTTTAAGCTAAATCATGCAACAGAGTACAGACAAAAGGTTAGGTTAGGTTACGTTAGGTGCTTTTCAGCTACGTACACAGGGGTATGTTCCAAAATCCTACTTTGGTTACCAAAAACTATAGTACACGTGACGTGAAATATAGCATTTTAGTAACTAAGGTAAGATTTTGGAACGTACCCCAGGCGACACTGTGTAACAATGGGTGCGTTCAGACAACTCAACAGTTGCACAACGGTTGAGAGATAATCACTTCTGATTGGATCATACTTTTGAAACCGCATCAGATTTTGAAGAATAGTCCTATCATAAGTGATGATCTCTCAACCGTTGTGCACCTGTTGAGTTGTTTAAACGCACCAATTGTGTTACACAGTGGTTACGTTCAGAAAACTCAACGGTTGAGAGATCATTCCTTATGATAGGATTATTCTTCAAAATCTGATTCAGTTCCAAAAGTATGATCCTATCATAAGTGATTATCTCTCAACCGTTGTGCAACTGTTGAGTTGTCTGAACGCACCCAGTGTCGACTTGTAGTTGAAACGCTTTTTAGCCATAGACGTAGAATGCTGAATGTATAGACTGCGCGTTCCCTACCTTTGCCATGTTAAGAAAATGTCTTCAACGTTGAGAGAAACAGCTGGTGTTGAATTCTAGCATTAATTAAATACAATTAAATAATTCTATATTCTCAAGTATGACATTGACAAATATCATCGGCGTTACG